GGATCAAATAACAATTTAAAAGTGAAAATAAATAGATGGGTTCTCTGTTCTTTTACTGATTATTTTTGTATAGCCCAGCATTTTGATTACTGGCCCTTAATGTTCAGCCTCTCAGGATGGATAAATTAAATAAATCTTTTAGCTACCTTTTTTTATTTTTTTTTGGCCCCCTCAAGTCTTCTACGTAAGGAAACACAAATGCTGCCTAGAGCAACCCTAGAATAGAAATGACTGAAGCCTAAACAGTTGCTTGCCATTCTTAGTCCAGATTCTTGAGGACCTGGAACATTCCAGAAGAGGTCATGTCTAAGCTTTAGGTTTCATATCTACTGTTTCAATTTTTTTACTTTCTGATTTTTTTGGAGAGCAAAGGAAAATACGCAATTGATTTGGTAAAGTATGAGTATGGTATTTAATGTAATCTGATTAGGTGATGTACAGCTCAGTCATTGTTTTCTTTGGAAGGGGTATTTGGCTCAGGTTTGAGTTCGGCCAACTTCCTTTGCCTAAGGATGATGCTGCAGATGTGAGAGACTGGGGAGGGGAGTAGTACAGATGTGTATTAATGTGTTTATTCACACATAACCCAGCTCTGGAAAGCAAGCATCCAATAGAAACTTTGTACAAATTATGAATGCTTCTTAAAATGTTGGCAGTAACCTAAAAATCTACCCTGGCTGAATTGTTGGAAGCTGTGTGTTTGCACCTCTCTGTCTCTGGTGAGCACTGGCCATGAGCCTTCCAACTAATATTGCAGATGGTATCCAAGAGCAATATCCCAGCAGTGTGGTCACCCTTGGCATTGCTGAAAATAAGAATTCCCACACTGCTACTGTAACAAAAGATAAACTTTGTTATTGGGAAGTGTACTTGCAAGACTGGTGTGACCTTATATAAAGAAGAAACATTCTCATCTACTGTTAGTGTTTTTCTGCTGTTGTGGTTGTGATGGAGATTGTATTTGCAACGATGCCAGAACTTGGTGCAAGCAGGCAGAGACATCAGTTCTGATACCTTTCCTGCTCCCAGGAGACTCTTGCTGAGGATGTCTCTTCCAACATAGGTTAGAAGTCCATGACATTGCTGCCACCAGGTGTCTTAGATGCTGCTACTGCTGCTGGTGGCACAGGGGCTGCTGCAAATGTAAAAGCAGGAAAGTGAGCACAGAGGAACAGAATTCTTGGTGCTCTGCGCCCTTGCCCTGTGGTGGTGAGTCACAGCTTCATCAAAACAGAGACAATCACAGGATAAAATGGGGAGTGGTGCTGGAATCTTTTGGTCACATATGTGGGCTGTAGTTTGCAGATATTTCCCCTTCAGTGTTGAGACAAAGATGAGGTACAAGTTCCTTCAGGATATGTATAATTGACTTACTCAGACTAAATGGTGACTGATGAAGACTTCTGTCCTCCCATTGTTTGATCACTTAGAGTTTCATTTCCCTCCTTTCCCTCCTACTACCATCAGTTATCTGTCAGGTTATGTATAATTTGTTTCTTAATTTCTAACATTTGAGCAGCATAAATGAAGTTGTCTACATTTGTTGTTTCATTTAACGGCAACAATTGTAAAGGAAAGGACAAGAAGCACTTGTATTTTTTGTGTTTTTAACAAATTACTTAATCTTCCAATAAATTTTCTATTTAGTTACTATGTAGTGCATTGAAATACCAGAAATTAAAACACAGAAGAGAATTACCAAGTCAATTACCCATTTTCCTTTGCCTTCCACATAATCAGTGATGAAAAATTTAGACTACAGATGCTTTGCACCAGGAAACTGACAAGCAGTGGGAATAATCCCTCAGTGATTCACTCAGGTGGACTATTTGTGTACTTTCCTGGAACTTAAAGCATTTTTAATACCTTGTGTAAGAGGAAACTTACAGCAAATATTTACCTTTAATCAGGAACCTTAAAATGTGTAACTGTTTCAAGCCTGTTCTTTTCTTTTATGCTAGATAAGTATTTTATACTTCAGTATTATCTTTCCTCAGTTTATTTGCATGCTCCATGAATATTGCCTGTAGCTTATATAAAATTGGTTCTTCTTGTGGAGACTTGCCAAGGAGCAAGGTGAAATAATTCTTTCAGTAGGCATTAACTTGGCCTTGCATAGGGTTTTGCTACCTGTCAGAAGCTTTGTCTTCTATCTTTAAGGTGAGCAGGAAAGTGGCTGGGAAGCTCTGTGCCTCTCACTAAGAGGAGAGCAGTGAAGTGCTGAAGCATGCCAAGTGAAGAGCAGCAAAGCTGGCAGTGGGTCCAGAGCACAAACCTTATGAGGAGTGGCTGGGGGAGCTGCTGTTTTTTAGCCTGGATATGTACTTTAGGAACAGCAGCTGTTCAGCTCTGTTTAATCAGTTTTTTTTGTTCAGTGGTTTGTAGAAAGTAGAGTGATGGAAGGATCTGTGCAGATCTTTGATCAGTTTTTTTGTCTGTTTCTGTTCAGGGATGCATTTTGAACAGTCACTTTTCCTTCCCTTTTATCTCTCTACCTAGTCTTTAATGCTGGAAAGTATTAAGTGGTTTATGTGTTGGTGCAGAAAAGTAGATGCAGTGCTTGTGCACTGAGACTTCCATTTCTAGGCACCAACTGTGTAATGCTGGGTGATTTTTAAGCTCAGTGGACTCTTTGTTGATATTTTGTTAATCTAGCTCAGTGGTTACTGTGCTCTTTTTTCCTCTTAACTGCTAGATTTTTTCAGGATGAGAACACTGCAGCCCACAAAGCCTCAGCTCCATTAACAGTGCTGAATATCAGAGCACAGTCTTGCTAGCTTCTCCTCTGATGACCCCTCATTAACCTTGCTTAAAGGCTTGCAAAGCCTTTCTCATATGCTGCAGAAATGCACACAGAAGAACATTTGTCTGTTCTGTATGCTACTTCTTCCTCCAAATAATAGGCTGGGAGCTGCAGTGTCTTCACTCAAATTTTCAGACGTTTGAATGCCTGACAAAATGCTGCTCAGTGTAACCTCAGCAGAGATAGATAATTAGCCTGAATCACAAGCAAGGTGATCTATAATTCAACAGCACTTTGAAGTCTCTCATGGCTGTACATTTACAGATCACATCACTTGAACACAGTTCATTGCTACTAATTTTTCTGCTGCATGTCTGGATGAAAACTGCATACTGTTGCTGTAGTCTAGTTAACCCTCCCTGCAAAACAACCCTTTAACTGTCCCTGCACTGGAGCTGTATATCATTTCTGGATCTAGTGGTGTGATATGCAGACAGCTAGTAAAACCTCTCTGCAGTCTATGAAGTGTCCAGTCTTCCTCTGTTTCCTTGTCTTCCTAATATTGTGGAAGATGGAAGAGCGCTAAACTGTGTAGCAGCTCCTCCACAGAGGTTTGTTTTATTTTGAAAAAACCCCCAAAACCCAAACAGTTTGAAGTTGACCTATTTCGCTTAGGAGTTTGAGATCATGGGAGGTTTTCTGAGTCTGGTTTGTTCTGCTGTGCATGAAGGTTCTCCACCACTTCACTGATGTTAGTTGTCCTTGATGTTAAGGAAGTGAAAATCACCTCGAAGCTGGCAGTAGTTCCTCTCATGTAGAGTCTTTCTCTTGGTGGCCACTTGCATCAAACACATAATACACATCCTGTAGTATGTGTTTGAGGGTGAGGTGCACTGTGCCACCAGTGCAAAACTGTGTCTGTTTAATGCCAGCTGAACTGTCCCAGACTTCAGCTCAGGCCTTTTAGTGTCAGTCAGTAAAAATAGTGGGAGCCTTGCTTGAGCTTGGGCTGGCTGAGATTCTAGCAATGTGAGCAGAGTGCAGTGCCTTGGTGAGGAGGCTCCCCTGCTGCCTCTGCTGTCTGGAGTGGGCCCTGTGACTGCTCTGGGCACTGGGATGTGTTCTGCAGATGTGTGATTTCTTGTCCTGATGTGAACAGGACAGAACTCTGTCTCTGGACAGATAGAAAGGAAAACACATGGGTAATTACTCAGTAGGCTCAGTGACTATGTGAGTCTCCCAGTTGAAATTGAAGATTAATTTAGGTGTCAGAAATGTATTTTTTTTCCCTATAAGGATGCTGAGTAGATCGTAAGTCGTGACTAAGTGACTATGTGAGTCTCCCAGTTGAAATTGAAGATTAATTTAGGTGCCAGAAATGTATTTTTTTTCCTTATGAAGGATGCTGAGTAGATAGTAAGTTGTGACTGAAACAAATCAGCAGTGAACTATAGACATTTTTTGCTTATGAGCTTTGTTGTGGCTTGGTACAATACCTAATCTTAGGGGGGGAAGGGAGTTGTTTTGGGTTGGTTTGTTTTTTATTTATATAAGGCATGTAGGTACAGGGGTAGAAAGAGGGTAGTAACAATGCTGCATGTACATGAAGGAAATTAGTGGAAGACTAAACCTGTACCTGGTTTATCATGAATGCCCAAGATCCCTGTTTTTACATTGAAAAATGTAAACACCTCTGCTAGCTCTTTCCAGACCAAAACAGATGTGATGGGAAGGACCTGGATAAGTGGAAACAGCCAAGAAAAAGCTTGTTGAATCACTCTGAGCTGAACAATCGTTTCATTTGCTGCTCCTCTCCTTTCAGGCCCCTGGCACTGCAGAACCACAAATCATGTGCTGGGACGCCTTGCTGTGTGTCCTGGCTTGTCAAAACAATTTAATGTAGGTGGAAAGGAATGAATGAAATGAACAGAGTAGGCTTGATGCATCTGTTTCAGTTTGTTCAAAGGGCAGCCCAGTGATTGGGATGTGACACTTAGGTCCTCCAGGGAAGCTATCAGTTTAGGAAGAACAATGCTGTCCATTTTATAAGGTAGTTAAATCCATTTTAGGAAGCGAGCTCTCCTATAGTTTGACAGCTTTGTATATTTTTAAAAATATTTGGGCTATATCTGCTCAGCATGTGCCAGCTGAGCTACTACAAGAATGTGATTTGATAACTTCTAGATTTAGGACTTTGTGGTGTCTGCCCAAGGCTGCTTATGGTAAAAAAAGACCAAGAAAGGAGAGAATATGTCCATTTTTAAATTTTATTAATGGGAATTCCAAAATGACTTGGCCTTTGAAAGACAGGATATCAGCTGTATATTACTAACTGTTCTTAAAGTGCTGGCTTCTTTGTTAAATTGTTTAAGTTTCCTAGGCTTATGAAAAACTACTTGTGAGTCTTTCTACTTTTAGTTTTTGGCTGTTTGATTTAAAAAAAATAAAAATAAACAAAAACATTAAAATTGTTTAACTGATCTAGGAATGTTAATCTGTGAAACCTACATTTCTGCTTTCAAATGAAAACAACAAATACGTGTGGAAACGATCCATTTATATACATATTTTTAGACTGTGAGTGATAGGAAAAAGGCTGCAGGGGATAAATCTCCTTATCTGATTCACACTTACAATTATTCAAGCAAAAGAAGGGCATATTTTGAGTGACAGGCCACCGATTTCATGGCATCTTTAGAAGTGGAGATACGGCTGAGGATCCTGCAATTCTGCAGGATTCTGAGTACTGCCCCCAGTAGCTGCCCTGTTGGGAAGACACATCTGGGCTTGAGTCTTTTGGAGTATGCAGTTGTTATAACAACTTATATATATTTATATATAATAATGAGTTATAATAACTCAGTTATAACTGAGGATGGTGGAAATTGTTCCCTTCCCACAGTCTTGCAAAACACTCTTAAATTCTCACTAAGTGATGATGGCTTCTTGCTCTCTGCCACAGCTATGCTGTACAGCTACTCTCTGGATTCCATGTGATGCCAAGATACTCCCATTCCTCTGCTTTTCCTGGACTATGTATACCTAACATAGCTGGTAACATCTCAGTCTCCCAAATTACATACAGTGCTCTATTTTCCTTGCTTATTTCAATATTTTAGTAGCTGCAGCTGCTTAAGTTACGTTTTTGTACAAGAACAAGCATGAGGTGAAGTTGTCACTTTTGCCCATGCTAACTGCTCAAAGAATGCCACCATGCATTTGGCATAGGCTCTGTTCTAGTCTGTGTCTACGCAGCCTGGGAGATCTTGCTGTCTAATATTTTTAATTAGGTTTTGAAAATGGACTCGTCACTTTAAATTGCATGTTGGCCTGCAGGCCAACTGTTTGCAAGCTGCATTAGAATGTAATTTGTACAGCTAAAACCAGTCATTGTGTACACAGACTTCGTTGGTTTAATTGTACAGGAGACTCAGTATTTTCCCAAATGTTAGGGTTGTGGGTTCTTTTAAAGTATATTGGCATCTTCTGTAACCTAGCATTAGAGTTCCTTTAGGAGAAGAATATAAAAACCTGTTAGAGATGAGGGTGTGGGTTGTGTGTCCAAGGAAATGAGGGTAGTAAAAGGTAGTATGCACTGCTGGGCTTAGGAAACAAGTGGCCTCTCTGTCTTTTTCTCCCAGCTCTGTTTAATGTTCCCTTTTGCTGCTGCAGTTGTGTACTGAAGGGTGCAGGGTTTCCTTGGTTGCAAAAACATAGCTGTGTTCCTGGGTGAAACTTTTTGGCCTGTGCTTTGTCCAAACTTGTCCCAGATCACTGGGGCACTGTGACTTTCAAAGCAGTGTTGTTTTACTTAGTCTATTGCATGGTCTTGGTGGGTTTTTCATGGCAGCCCTGAAGTGTTGAGTGTCTGTGCTGAGCGTCACAGCTGTGTTTGCAGGATCATGATGCTGCCATGGATGTGACCAGAGAGAGAAATGAGTCCAAAAGTGAGTGCCTCTTAGGAGTCTGTTCATTGATAACAGTGGTTAGCACTTGTTAGTTTCTATTTGGGGACGGTAGTACAGAGCCAGGGAAAACTGAATAAAGACCTGAAGGGAGGTTGGGTTATGTGGGTTAAAACGAGAATGAAGTGAAATACACTTGATGTTAAGTGTAGGTCTAAAACTGGTTAACAGTGTTTGTAGTAGATAACTTGTTAGTATGCACACAATAAAGGAAATTTAATCCAATGTGTATTAAAAATCTTGGGTTTGGACAAAATGAATGCAAGTTTCATATTGACAGTTTAAAAGTGATAAAAAAGTAATTATTACAGCCTTTTTTGTATAATGACCATATATAATAGCTGAAGTTACAGCTAAGGACAATGGCTTAAAAAAGTGAATTATAAGTGAATTATCAGCAGAGGCTGAGAATACTGCTTTATTTTCCTGTAAGAAGGGTGATATTGCGATTGTGTTATTTGAAGCACTGGTGCATGTGTGTATGGTCAGCTGTACCTCTTGCAGCTCACTGCTTTTCTGTCTCAGCAGTTTCAAGCTGTTAAGATTGAGGTTTGAAACAGAACTTGTGCTGCCTTGTTCATTATACTGAAAGGAAAGCTGTCAGAGGGGTAAGACAGCTCAAATGAGAGCACTAATTACGTATAAAAACTCCTGCAACACCTGAACAGACATGAATGCTCAATTGTTGGAGTGTTTCTTCAAATGTTATATCAAAACTTGTGCAAATACACTTATGAAAGAATGGGAGGAGGTGGTAATGCTGATTTCTGCAGAGTGAAGTAGCTGTAGGATTGAATGGTTTTTGATGTCTGTAGATTAAATTAGTCATACATAAGGATTTTGCATTTTCCTAAGAATTGTGAAGGTGAGTGACATCCTAGACACCAATAGGAAACTGATCCCTGAGGTGATTTCAAATCTGTTTTCAGACTTTTACCCAGGGAAATGGTATACTTCTGAAAATTGGAGCTTCATCTGAAAAAGAAGTTTGCCCGTGCCTGAAAATACTCTGTGAATCTTCTAGAAAACGTTGATGGTCTTAGTGAATGTAGGATGGTTTAAATATTACATGGCTGAATTGTATTGAGAAAACACATGACCTGTAAACAAAGGAAGAGGAATTACAGTCTGGAGCACAATGGGAGTATAAGTAAATCCTGTGTGGTTTTACTGCCTCCTTTTAATGGAAAAGACAATGTGAAATCAAGTGACTTAAAACTTTTACTCAGATCTGACAAATAGGTCTTTGGTTATTGCTAAATAACTTAGAAACAATGCTTCTGAAATTCTTGGCTATAAGTATTTCCTGAAATATTTTGTTTTTTTAAATGCAAACTGCATATGGACCCAGTTTGTGCCAGTGAGTCAGCCTGACTGGTGTGAGCAGTGCATTGGTAAACTGAGAACACTGCATGGCACAAGGAGATGTCTTCTGTTTGAGATGTGTTGCTTGTTCAGGTAATAGCTGCTCCAAGTCTTGGTGATAGCTGACAGCCAGTATTGTCCAGGAAGGCTGTTTTGTGTTCTGCCTCTGGCCAAAAGATTGCTTTCTGTCTCTCCTGGGAGTTACATTTTTTTGGTTTTGTTGACATAAGATTTCAGGAAACTTGCTCAATCATGAGGTTCTGCATTTAATCAGAAAAAATCCAATTCATTCACTTGATGGTCTACAGCTACAGGAACAACTGTGTGTTAACAGAGGTTTGATGCTTAACCCCCTCTATGGGTGGCTAATCCCATCTGTTGACCAGTGGTCAGGACAGACATCTAGGAATAATGAAAAATTATTATGTACAACATGAGAAGGACATGCTTTAAATGATCTGATTTCATTCTCAGACACTGAAGTGTTCAAGACATTATATCCTCTTTCTGCCCCAAGTCAGGCAACAGCTAAATTTATTAAAGTAGTAAAGTGGGAGAAAGCAGAAAGACAAGTTAAGCTACAGATGTGCAGTTCTTAACCCTGAGAGCAATAGAATTATAAAAAGCAACATATTATAAAAAGACCGTAATAGTATGTGTTCAAAACAGAATATTTCAAGGTAATTGCAAACCAAATTTAAGACACATGATTCTTGTGTGTACCTAACTGTTTTCAAGTCGCTGCCTTTCAATAAGAAAATAAAGCAAAACTTTCTGATGCTCCTTTTCTTTTTCATTAGGATCGGAAGCTGTCCAAGTCAGAGCGACAAAGATTTAAAGAGGAAGCTGGGATGCTGAAAGGGCTTCAGCATCCCAATATTGTCAGGTTCTATGATTCCTGGGAGTCTACAGTCAAAGGAAAAAAGTGTATTGTTCTTGTGACAGAACTCATGACGTCTGGAACATTAAAAACGTAAGTAAATTAAGGCAGTGTTTCAGTTTCATTAGCACAACCCTAGAGAGCTAGAAGTAGGTGATATTTAGAATAAATGAGAACAGAGCCCTTCTGTTGAAGGATAACCTACTGTAGGAACATTCTTGTTTTAGAGGAGCATTATTAGCATTGCAGGGCATGGTAGAACATCTTCTAAGTTAAGAAGCTTGTCAGTTCTTACTTGTGATGTCCCAGTAAGCACATGCACAACACTTTTGGATTTTAAGAGCTCACAGAGGCAATACTTAGTTTTCACTTCTCAGAATTTGTTTTTTTTTCTCCATCAGCTGCTTTCTGTTGAGGATGAGCTAGTTCATAAAGTTCAAAGCTCAAATTAATTCACCTCTTTTGGGAGGTTTTGGATGCAAATAATATGTAAAAAGAAAAAAACTCACCACCTATTGGTTTATCTGAAACTTGCTGAAGCTTCATATAAAAATCCTACAGCTTGGACCTGTGAGGCAGCCGAGTGCACCTCGTGGTGTGCTGAATGCTGAGTTAGGAGAGTGCTGGAGCTGCAGCTGCTGTGAGGGATTCCCACAGTGTGTGGAGCTCGTGGGGGCTCTGCTCTCTGCCCTGGAGGGACCGTGTCCCAAGTGCCAGCCACCATCTCTCTGCTGGGAGTAAAGCTGCCAGCTCTGCCATAAAGGGGTTCTGCTCCTCTCTGGGAGTGTGTCCTGAGCGCAAGCCCCCATCCCTGTGCTGGAGTCAAGCTGCCAGCTCTGCCATAAAGGGGTTCTGCTCCTCTCTGGGAGTGTGTCCTGAGCACCAGCCACCATCCCTGTGCTGGAGTCAAGCTGCCAGCTCTGCCATAAAGGGGTTCTGCTCCTCTCTGGGAGTGTGTCCTGAGCACCAGCCACCATCTCTCTGCTGGGAGTAAAGCTGCCAGTCTGCCATAAAGGGGTTCTGCTCCTCTCTGGGAGTGTGTCCTGAGCACCAGCCACCATCTCTCTGCTGGGAGTAAAGCTGCCAGCTCAAGTCGCTGCCTTTCAATAAGAAAATAAAGCAAAACTTTCTGATGCTCCTTTTCTTTTTCATTAGGATCGGAAGCTGTCCAAGTCAGAGCGACAAAGATTTAAAGAGGAAGCTGGGATGCTGAAAGGGCTTCAGCATCCCAATATTGTCAGGTTCTATGATTCCTGGGAGTCTACAGTCAAAGGAAAAAAGTGTATTGTTCTTGTGACAGAACTCATGACGTCTGGAACATTAAAAACGTAAGTAAATTAAGGCAGTGTTTCAGTTTCATTAGCACAACCCTAGAGAGCTAGAAGTAGGTGATATTTAGAATAAATGAGAACAGAGCCCTTCTGTTGAAGGATAACCTACTGTAGGAACATTCTTGTTTTAGAGGAGCATTATTAGCATTGCAGGGCATGGTAGAACATCTTCTAAGTTAAGAAGCTTGTCAGTTCTTACTTGTGATGTCCCAGTAAGCACATGCACAAGACTTTCGGATTTTAAGAGCTCACAGAGGCAATACTTAGTTTTCACTTCTCAGAATTTGTTTGTTTTTTTTCTCCAGCTGCTTTCTGTTGAGGATGAGCTAGTTCATAAAGTTCAAAGCTCAAATTAATTCACCTCTTTTGGGAGGTTTTGGATGCAAATAATATGTAAAAAGAAAAAAACTCACCACCTATTGGTTTATCTGAAACTTGCTGAAGCTTCATATAAAAATCCTACAGCTTGGACCTGTGAGGCAGCCGAGTGCACCTCGTGGTGTGCTGAATGCTGAGTTAGGAGAGTGCTGGAGCTGCAGCTGCTGTGAGGGATTCCCACAGTGTGTGGAGCTCGTGGGGGCTCTGCTCTCTGCCCTGGAGGGACCGTGTCCCAAGTGCCAGCCACCATCTCTCTGCTGGGAGTCAAGCTGCCAGCTCTGCCATAAAGGGGTTCTGCTCCTCTCTGGGAGTGTGTCCTGAGCACCAGCCACCATCTCTCTGCTGGGAGTAAAGCTGCCAGCTCTGCCATAAAGGGGTTCTGCTCCTCTCTGGGAGTGTGTCCTGAGTGCCAGCCACCATCCCTGTGCTGGGAGTGAAGCTGCCAGCTCTGCAATAAAGGGGCTCTGCATCCCTCACTTTGTTCAGTGCCCATTTCACTCTTGCAGAGGCATTCACACCCTACATGTGTAAGCAGGCTGCAGGAGCTGGAAACAGTTTGCCTTCTCTTTGGCTGAAATAGCTGGTGAATATCTTGTGTTTTTACTGTGCTTATTGATGGCTACAAGTGGACAGTCTTAAGAAGAAAAATGGCTCTCTGGGAGTCTGGGCTGCAGTTACAGGGAAGTGTTTGTCTCTTGAAATAGTACTGGGTGGCTAAGGATATGACAACATTCTTCAGGCATATGTTCAGTGCAGACCGTTCTCAGGTTGCTTAAGGTATTTCAGGTAAAAGAATAGATCTGCTGCTTAATGTGCTGTTTTCAGACAAATGGTAAGTTAATGGTTTTGCACCTCTGTACTGATGCCTTTAAATAAAGTTTACCTAATTTTCTGCTAAATGTGTAGTGCTAAATTTATTTTTCTCCCTTTTTTTTACTCCTTTATCCCTCTTACAGATTTTAATATTTGGATTGGCTTATGTGGTGTCATAGGCAAGATGATGAAGTAATAGTAGACAATTATAAAGTAGGGTGTTGAGAGGAAGAAATACCCCAGTTTTTCTGTCTGTGGGATTATTTTGTGTCTTGAAATAAGAAAGTCTTTTTATTTAATCCAGAAAAAAGTAATAGTCTCTTTGATTTAACATGTTTTAAACTGCAGAGTTCTGGCTATGGTTTTTCTCTACTCTTGTATAGCTGGTGTTACAGCTGTGATTTAGTTTATTCTAGTCCACTTCACTTGAGGCTTGACAGGTGAACTGTATGGGACATTTCAGGTGTGCCTTAATTAAGTACTTCATGTGCTTGTGGCATTTTCCTAGATTTACACTGTACACTTGTGTTTGCATCTATTTGACTATTATTTCCATATCTTTTTACAACATGTTTACCTTACCTGCATTTGAGAAAAGTGATTACTTTCTTCTTTTGGTACTTGGGACATAGACATTCTTGTCACTGAAAAAAAATGAACAGAATACGAGTGTGATGGTATCTTAAAGGAAATTTTCTCATGTTTTAGTTTAATAAGGATTCCTATAGCTCCTTGAGCTCTATGTAATTGTAATTGCAGAAACTGAGACTGGAAACCTCCTGGGGTCTCTTCAAAGCCCAGGTTATTCTATGATAGTAGGAAAAGTGAAAACATACTGCCTGTTAGGCTTGTGTATTTTGGTGTATTTGTATGTGCTTCCATTTTCAGTTGTGTTCTGCATGAAGTGACATGTGAGTTAATTCAGGTTAGTATTATGGAACAATGACAGCCACACTGCACAGTGTTGGGTGATTGTTGGATCCAGGTCCTTCAACAGGGAAAAGCTGGCAGTGGACTAGCATATTTGTAACCAAGAATGCAATTAGGGATTCCAGATGCTGAACTGAAGTGCCCCTACCATGTGATCTTTGGAACGGGCTCAAGAGAGATGAATGAGGGTTGTGTCAATAGCAGGAATTCAAGTGGTAGCTGATGTGGTTCAGAACCTCCTTCAGTTGATCTCCTTCCTTGACTTGGCTCTTTCCCTGCCTTCCTTGACATTCTGACACCTGATTTCCTCTGGAACTGACTCAATTGCTTTTACAGAGTTATTTTCACAGCGGGATCATTGCTAGCAACTTGATTTTCCAGATCTTGTTTTGAACTGGAGAAATTAAAGTGAAAGGGATGAATACACTGCATTTCTGTGTTGGAGCTGGTTGAAGTGATTTCATCGGGACTGTATCTCCTAGTTAAGTGAATCTGCAGAAGAGAGTGACCACTACCATGGAATAATTGAACACAACTTGATTTTAGTTTTAAGATTGTGGTGGCTAGACTCCATGCTGGTCACAGAATTTACTAGCAGTCTTTCTGTAGTGTGAAACTGATCTTTATCTGAGACTCTGTCTGAGTAACATTTCCTGAACAAGAATGAAGTCCTTGCTCTACAGAGCATGTAAGGTCCTTTGTCTACATGTAGTCTGGCCTGTACCTTTTCAGAAGGAACAAAACACTCTTCACTTCAAATCATGTTACCCAAATAGAGGTTGAGAGAAAACCCTGCTGGAAAGCACTTGAAAACTGTCAGAGGTTATTCACCTTGTGGCATCTCTAATCTGCTGAAGTTAAGTAACAGAATAAGATCTTAGGTCATGCTCATTGAAAAATATTTTTGGTATGAAATTTGACTCTTCTTACATGGGGTTTCAAGGAGGGGCAAAGATAGAACAGTTAAGGCTGGATTGCATTCTACCTGCAAAAGGATACAGACTTCTGTATAAACTCTTCCACCTCAGTTATTTGACAGAGCCTTTTTAAAGATTTCTCTGCCCTGTTTCTATCTGTCCATAGTTTTGAAGTAATGAGTAGTACCAGTTGGATTCAGGTAATCAAACCCTGTCCTGCACCAGGGAGGGGATCTCTAAGAATATCTAATTATGTTGCTAACTCCACAGGTAAATTTGAAACAGATGTAAAATGTAGTGTGGAAACCTTGAACAGAGAGCTTGACTACTCTTGTAAATGAGGGACTGATTGAAAAGCTCTTGCAGTTTTCCACAGCTCTGTACTTTTTTGGTTGTTAACGTTTTGGATCTAGTGACCCACCTTCCCACCCAGTTATAATTAATCAAAGTAGAGGTTGTCAGTGTTTGAGAAGTTAAATAGGTAAGGAGGTGTAATTAATGAGCCTTGAATAATTTGTCATTGAAGCAGTGCCTTGAAATTTAGCAATCCAGCAGTTTAAATACTGTGGAATGATTTTGTATGCAGAGGTGTTATCAGCTATGTACACCAAGCTTTCACATTGTTGTTTTGTCATTATAGTCTGCTGGCTAGAAAAGAGGGGATGGGTTTTCTAGAGGGGAATGATCTTTAGCTCCTCTGAAGTAGTGAAATGCTCAGGTAGATTTTAAAATGGACAATTAAATTTATACATCATTAATTACTGTTTCTTTGCTTCCAAACAGCAAATGGTATAGCTTAATCTACTATTTGTTAGCAGAATCTGTTTAACCTATTGTTACTTTTTTCATTAGGTATTTGAAAAGATTTAAAGTGATGAAAATTAAAGTACTACGGAGCTGGTGCCGTCAGATACTGAAAGGCTTACAATTTCTACACACTCGTACTCCTCCCATCATTCATAGAGACTTAAAATGTGACAACATCTTCATTACTGGCCCCACTGGATCAGTCAAGATTGGAGACCTTGGTCTGGCAACCCTGAAACGAGCTTCTTTTGCCAAAAGTGTGATAGGTAAGCCTCTCCTGTTTTGGAGGCTGCTAAGCCAGTCTACCTCTTTGGAGACTTCAGTGTTTTAGGAACTTTCCTAAAAAACATGCTTATAAAGGTACATGGTCAAAGCCTGAAAATATGTAGGCTTTGTCTCTTGGTTGCTGAGGGCATTCTGTGTTCCTAATGCAAAGGCATGTTGAAATTTTGGTTGTGCTTTGGTTATTTATGTATTAACATTAGCTATTTGAGAATATAGAGTTCTTGTCCTGCCCAACAATCTTGTGCAACATTGTTGATAAAACCACTCTTCACTACATAAAAATCTTACCTTTGTGGTGCTGCTTCAAGAAATGTACAAATGCATTTTGAAGACCAAACAACATTTTGATATTTAGTGTAGCATTAGTTCATACAGCCAAATTTTTTTTCATTGTCACCAGGGGTTAATGTTGAATGTCTTGCAGCTTGTGAGTAATCTGAAACTGAGGTGTACCAAAGAAAGACCATATAATATGTATTTAAATAATAACACAGACTGTGGGTATAACACCTTACTCAGGGAGTCTGTAGAATGTGGATTTGTGTGAGTTAGGAGGGTGCATTGGGAAATAGTGCTTTATTCTGGCTCTGTCCCTGTGTATCCATTCATAACCTTTTTCAGAAATTGATTTGGTGGAACTAGTGTGATCTTTCTTGTGAATTCTTGAAAGAATTGGTTTTATCAGCTTTGTTTTTATAGTTGGGTCAATAGACTGCAGGGAATGAAGTATCTTTCACTCTCAGTATTTAGAGCTTGCTAAAATTCAGCATTACTCAACAGTCCTGTGCCAGATTCCTAGCTGGGATCAATGGCATATACCTGTAAATTTTCTTGCAAGCTGTCACTGAAATATTTCCTGCTTCTTAACCAGGTCAAAATATTAATAGGGAATAAAAGAATGGTGTTAAAAACCATAATTTCTTCAGCATATTTGTCATATCTTCAAATTTATCACTGGAAAATTACCATCTGTTACATAGTTATCTGTTAATGATTAGCTTTTGGATAAATGACTGCAATTTACATTCTTTGGTTTAGTCTGGTGAAAACAAGCAATGGGCTGTAGAATGATCTGTAAATTGCCTGGAATCTGGTGTCTGCAGGAAATAATTCTGTGTTTAAATTTACAAAAAGCAAACTTGCATCTTTGGCTTAAAGTAAATCTGATCATACAATGCAGTCCCTTTGTTTGCAGAGGGGATCTGTGATGCTTCACTGGGCAATCATTTTCTGGACACTATTTTAAATGGGACTTGTTGAATCTCACGCTCTATGCCTGTAACTCAATCTCTCTGTATTTCTGAGTATTTTTGACTGTAGGGTGTCCCTCACTAATGCCTGTATCTGCAGTAGGCCTATAAATATACTGCAGGTGGGAAGGTAAGTATATGAAGAAAAGGGCTCTGGTGAGTGGCCTTTGCAGAAAATTACCTTTTATATCCTCTTTTCACGGAGATTTTTATTTGTAACAACAGAGCTTTTCATTGCAAGGCCTTATCTGACCCATTCTACTTCAGCAAGTAGATGGAGAGCACCAGGTCAGAGACTAGCTATGGGCTCTTACCAGTACTACTTCTTTTGCAGCAGAGGGCAGTCAGGTAATTTATGAAACAAGGTTTAATGTGCCTCTTTTCTTACAGGGAGAAAAGGTAAGTGCCTTAACTCTCCTTAGTATTTGGTTTGCAGCCTATGGCTAGTCTACAGTTTTTCCCCTCTTCTTATCCCCTACCCTCGTGTTTGATTTCAGGCTAATCCAGTCTGTTCTGCCATTTGTATCAACTAACATACCTAAACAGGGAATTGCATCAGTTCTCACATGCCATTGTTATTCCATAAAGGCCTTGCAATGGAAGACTCACAAAGTACATTGGTGCAACAGAGTCACTAAGGGTTTCCTCCCTCTTCTTTTTGCCTCCACTTTCTCTTGTCTCACAGGTTTGCCCAGCCGCTTGCCCCTGCGGTGAGTAACGCCAGCAGCCTCTGCTCGCTTTGAGACATTTAGAGTCTGAATCGTTCTTTTAATTTAAGGTACCCCAGAGTTCATGGCCCCCGAGATGTATGAGGAGAAATATGATGAGTCCGTTGATGTGTATGCTTTTGGGATGTGTATGCTAGAGATGGCCACGTCTGAATATCCTTATTCCGAGTGCCAAAATGCTGCGCAGATCTACCGCCGAGTGACCAGTGTAAGTCCCTCCTCACTGCCCAGTCTAAAGCTACTGCTCTTAGCAGCAAAGGACTGCAGCTGGGTAGCACCAGTGCTGTGCAAGTGTGTGTGGGGAAAAAAGCCTGGGAAGAGATTATTTTGGGATGAGTGCGAAGTTACAGGGTGGTCGAACTCACTGAACATCTGTCAGACGCTTGTAAAATACGTGAATGAAGATAAAATTTTGGAAGTGTTCCTACTTTTCTTTCAGTATAGAAGAAAAAAATATGAAGAAACCAACCCCCCAAAGCAAACTAGAAAAAATAAATGCACTAGAATAATAACAGATTGTTTTCTAAGCCACTTGGGGGATGGTGGAAGTAGTTCTGTCTTGAAGAGTAGCTGGTAACCTTGTTCTCTGCAATAAAGCTGGATAACAGATTTGAGCACTGGCTTAGCTGCCTGCCAGTTACCTACAGTGATTTTAATAGTTCATTGAATTCTGAGTGGCCCTTAGCTCCTGCATTTTGGGGGCACTTCTTATAATGATGAAGTGGAAATACTTGATAAATAGCAGGAAGCTATTCCACCCTGGTAAGTACTGGGCAAGTGTAGTGGTGGAGGCATTGTAGGAGAAAACAAATAGGGCTGAGAAGGCAATCAAGAGATCAGAGCTGGCCCATCTGACCAGACTGAGGGGAACATGCAGACCCTGAGTGCAGGAAGGAGAACTGCAGTGCTAGAAAGGTGCAGTATGGTGTGGCTAGATTTAATCTGTGATATCTAAGGCAGTGTTGTGAAGAGTGTACCAATACAGTGGAACAAACATGTTCAGCCTTGTGACCTAAGCATTCAGAAAGAATAGTGAGGTGGCTGCTTGGGGAAGTGGAAACTCAAATTGGATTTCTCAGAATACCTGTACATATGTGCAAAGGAGGAAAAAAACCCCCAGACTTACCTCTTCGTCCATAAACAAATGAGTTCCTATTAATTCTTTTGGAGCATGTTATCTCAGAGAAGTTGCAGATTTAATAAACAACTTGCCAGCTTTGGAAAAATAAAATGCTCTCTTATTCCTGATGCCTCACACTGCAGATAGAGATATAATTCCTGACTTAGAGTTGGAGAAGAGTCTTCATGTCAGAAGCAATGAATTCTGAAGAGAGGCTTGGTGAAATAAGATTATCCCTTTCTTTCAGGGAAATATTGGAGGGGAAAAAAAAGGCATAAGTGGTCACTTCAGTGTTTTGCACAGACACTGGAATATCTTTTTATATACATGTATATACATTCAGAATTGGGGTTTTTTAAATTTAGTTTCTTTGTGTGTTGGCAAACTTACCTGTAATTTTTTGAATAGTTAAGAACTAGGCTAAAGTCTAGTCCTTACTCTGTGTACAGCATCATCTGTCCTGGAAGCAGTTGGGATCAATGAAAGAAAGCTATATATCTCACCAGAACTGTCTCAGTGGTACCTTTTACCTGTTATGGATGTGTCTTGGACAGAGCCAAAGCAGCAAAATTTGCATGGACATTGCCTAATGTAAATGCCTGTTCCTTAAGGACCCTGCTAGGAACTGGGATGTTGGTGAGAATCAGCTGCTGTGACAACCTCAGGCTTGTAAATCCCCAGGTCTTTCCCCTGGTCTTTCAAGTACATAACTGGAAAGCTTTGTAGGGACTGGTAGCAGGAAGAGTTACCTAAGGACTTAGCAGGTTCCACTTACCACTTGTTTGTTGTGTGTGGTGCTCCTTTCTCCACATTGTTATTGGCTGATGGTGGAAATTCTAAATGGATGAGAAACACTGGCAATTTTTTGGTCTGTCCAACACCACCTTCTCTTCTACTCTGCTGATGGTTCACAAATCAAGTTCATTGGTTGATTTTTTTTTTCCTCACAACTATTTAATTTACTGCTTGAGAGCTTGTAAGATACACTTTGATATGAAATCCAGCAAGTTTTGTTTTATTTCAGAAGTAGCAAAGGAGGGGAAGGTAAAGAAAATGAAATGTATGTTTGTCTGCTTCCAAAGTCTGTGTGCTTTGGTATTTTTGGGGTTGTTTATTTCAGTGTAGTTGCAAAGCAGTTTGTTCAAAACAAAACCAACCAGAAACAAAATGTGAAGAATTTTCAAGGAGAGCTTTCAATGAAGGCAAGACAACATTATGTGGAAATAAAGCACAATCCTGTGCTTAACTGATAATGGAGGATTTAATGTTCAATAATGTGGAAAGAGATCTGTGTTATAAAAGTGAAATTAAATACTCCTGGCATTCTTTTTACCACTCCATGAAAGCTCTGTGAACCAATGTGAAAAAGAGACAGGTAGTTTTAGATTTAGAAGATTTTAGAGATGTTAGAAGTTTAGACCATGTGTGCATTTGTGGGTGAGGGGTGAACCATTTGCCAAATTCAGTGCTTGAAAGGACAGTGTGTGAACTATCAATAAAAGAGAAGGCAGAAAACCCCCTCCTGCAAAAGTGACTTGAGCAGTACTTACCAACACATCTCTTCTAATGTATGTTGGAAAGTGGGTGTGCTTTGTGGAAGATGTTTAGCATCTCCATTTCAACCCCTGGACATCTTTAGGGGTGTTTTGAGGTAGCAGCTACAGTCCTACTGTGCTTTAAATTGAAAGGATTGTTTGATCTGGGTGCATACAGAGAGCAGAATGAAGGACAGTAGGAATGGTCTGCTATGAAAGTCATGAAAGGTCATACCATGTTGGAGCTTAAAAAGCACTGAAACCCCAAAGGCAAGAAGATCAAAATGTGCAGCCACTCACTGCAGGCCATATGTATTTAAATTAATTAATTTCCCTCATCCTCTTTGCAGGAACTATTAGGCTTAGTAAAAAGCAAAGTTGCTCCATTATCTTAAATCCTTGCTGTTGCTTAGGACAGAATCCTGTAAAAGGTCTCTTAATGCCCAGGGTGTCCCCTCAGAACCTCTTGGTAATACCAGCTTATGTTCTTTTTTCTCATTTTGGCTGTGCATTGTCTCTTTTTAGGAGGCCATCAGCTGCAGTGAGTTTTGACCTGACACCTTTTGTGATAAGGATGGCTCTGGCTGATGCCCAGATACTGCAGCTTTGCAGTATTGCTCAGAGTACTCAGTCCTGTTCTGCTTCTTTGGTTCAGGGTCTTTCCTCATGGTTGGAAGCAGTTTTTTGTTAAATAACAGACCTTGGCAAGCACAGATCTAGAATTTGGATCTAAAGGCTGAAGTTCCTCTCACAAATGAGATGTTTTTTGGCCCAGGCAGTAATTGTTGCTTCACATCTTGGACAATAGCTTTGCTGCATAAGCCTGCTGTTCCTAAGATGCTCATTTTTACTGTCTGCATTCTCTCACTGGGAAGTTCCTGTAATTCACTAACACAGTCCTAGGATAAAGTTCCTGAATTTTCCGTGGCCCAAGAAACACAAGTGCAATTAAATTGTTATTCTGGATTACTTTAGAAGAATTCTTTTAACAGAGTAACCTGGGTTTATACCTGGCTTAAACACAACTGTGCAGAATTTGTAGGGCTCAAGGTGTTATGCTAAACTTTGTTTCACTGTTCTGATAAGGAAATCAGCAGTTTAACACAAAATATTGACTTGCACCCTTTAGCATATTCAGTTCAGACCCTTTCACTAGCAGTTTCTTTAGAAAGGAAAGACATCTGCATGGCTTGTCACTCAAGCATAAAGGAATCTAGCCTTTATCTTTGTTTCCATTAAATCATAATGTTGCAATTTTGTCTCAAAACCCTGTTTTCTTTATTGAAACCATCTTCTGCTGCTCTTTGGAAATGGTTCCAAGTAAATTAGTAGTCGGTGCTTAAAGAATTACAGCTTTTTGGATTTTTACCTTCCTGTGGGATGGGGAAGTCTCTGAGGTTTAAGCAGTATGTCTCCTCAGCTGGGGCTGAATGCATCCAGTGAGCACTTACTGATGCCTGCTTGGCCTCAGAAAAGAAATAATCTAAACCTGCAATGAATTGATAACAAGCTGCACTATAGGTAAAGTACTGATTTTTCTCTCCTTTGATTAATTTTTTCTCCCATGTCCTCTCGTGCAAGCACAGCTGTCTGTGTGGAATGCTACTAGATTAGGGAATGGATCCCCTTTTTTTGTGTGGTTTTTTTTTTTCAATTCTGCTCTCTATCCAAGTAATGCAGAGAGTTGCAATGCAAAATAAAATCAAGATACATAATTGTTTTACTTACTTGCTTGCATAAAAAACAAAAGAGAGTGTAAGAGCTTGGTAAAATTCAGGAGGGTTTCCCTGTCTTTGTTCTTCTCAGGAGACTGGTATATTTTATTTGACCTGTTCCATGCATATTGCAATTAAACACTTTGTCACAAGACATATTTGAAATGAGCTACACGTGCATTTAAATGGAAAAAGTGATATTTATAGAACAAACATCTTAAGTATGATTTCTTAATTTAGTCTGTTTGGGCATCAATGCAGTGCGGGCATAACTAACTGCAGTAACTTCAGCTGCTTTGCCTCAGCCTCTGGTGGGACCATGGAAACCCAAGCTGTTGCTTCAAAATCTAGATTTCTAATACTTGAATATCCAAAGGCTTAAATTTGCTAGGTGATTGACTAGTTCCAGGACTAGTAAAAAGACAATTATTATGTTTATTATGCAGATTTTTCTCCTCTTTGCATATCTACCACTAACATAAAAATCCAAACATGTTCATTGCAAAGAAGTTAATAAAGCCATCCTCAGTTTCAAATGTACTAATCATCTGAGTATGAACAGAAAGAACAAGGGGGTTTTCTCCCCCCTCCCATCATATAAACTTACCTTTTAAGTTTTCCTGGTGGACTTGTGCTCTGTACTTGATTTTCTCCATGCTTTCTTTGACAAAGTGAAGTTTTGTATTTGTCCTTCCTTCCACCAGAACTCCAGTCTGTTCTCTCTAAACAAATGTCTGTTGTCTGAGCTGGCCTTAGGATCAGAAGGGGGGGAGAAAAAGCATTTTGCATTTTTTGAGTTTCAAAAAAAAAGGTTGTTCAGTACTAAAATGTTCCACAGCAGGCATAACATTTTTCTTCTCTGTTCTCCAGAGCTTAAAAAAGGGCCTAAGGGAACAAGGCACATAATGAGTAACCTGACCAGGCAGTGTCTAACTGGTTTAAATGTCCTTAATCTCCCTAACTGGTGGGAACTGGCGTTCACTGGTTAGGGTGAAGGTCATTCTCTTTGCTGGAAACAAGGCAGTTACAAAGTGCTGTCGTTTGGTCAGTGGAGATAAAATTAATATTTTCTTTAGTGTCTTGAAAGTAAGGTGTCATAACTGTCTAGACCAGTCAACTGCTACATTTTCACTAGAGGTGCAGTGGACAAAGTATTCCAGCTCTTACTTTCTTCTTCTTCCTGAGGGGTCTTAAGTAGCAGACAAAAAATACTAAACCTTTAGACATATGAAGAATTTTACTTGCAGTACTTAGTGAGTGGTGAATCATTTCTTCTACTTCCTGGAAGTCATATGTAACAATTTTTTAGACATGAATGAAACTGTTTTCTTTACCTTGCGTGACTTGATTTTTTGACCTGGTTTGAATATATATGGAGATATCTTTCCTACAAACTTTTCTAGCAAAAAAAGCATTGGAAAAAAAAAATCAGTGGAAAAGTAGGGGAGGAAACCCTCCAACAGAGAAGGTGATCCTTTGTGAAAGCAGGTATTGAAAGTCTACAACCTTCAACCAAACACAGGAAACATTAATTGGAAGAAAGGGTAAACACTTGTATTCCTTCAAAGAAGAAACTCGTGGTAGTGAAGTGTGAAATGTAAAAGAAAATTGCACATCATGTGCAATTCCTTTGCCTCACACTGACTGAAATGTTTAAACTTCTAGCTCTTGCCTCTTGTAGATGTTCACCTCAGTCACAAGCATTTTGCTGTAACAGCTTTAAGAGTGTAGAATCTTCCTGTCTGGGGATTCAGTCACGGACTCATCAATTCAGAAACATAGAGCCTTAAAAGTAGAAGGTAGGAATTCAAGGATTTGAAGCATGAATATCTTAAGCAGTCTTTCGTGTTGTTTTAGAAGTCCTCTTTAATAAGTTACAATGATCTAGGTAAGGAGAAGCAGTGATCAGCTTGAGCCTGTCGGGCAACAAAGTTGATGAAAGGACTGGAACATCTTTCTCCTCAGGAGAGGCTCAGGGAGCTGGACCTGTTCAGCCTTGAGAAGACTGAGAGGACCTTATCAATGTCTGAGTGTCAGAGGATGGAGCCAGGTTTTTGGTGGTGCCAGGCAATAGGACAAGAGGCCATGGGCAGAAACTGATGCACAGAAGTTCCACCTGAACATGAGGAAGAACTTCTTTCCTGTGCAGTGATCGACTGGAGCACATTGTCCAGGGAGGGTGTGGAGTCTCCCTCACTGAGGATATTCCAGAACCCTCTGGAGGCAATCCTGTGTCCCATGCTCTGGGATGGCCCTGCTCGAGCAGGGAGGTGGGAGCAGATGACCACTGTGGTCCCTTCCAGCCTGACCCAGTCTGTTGATTTTGTGTTGTTTGCACAGCTAAGTCGGGTGATACCCGAGTTTGGAAGGGAAAAGACTTATTCAACTGAATTTTTTTTCTGAAAGTAGTTCACTGTTCTGCATCAAAAGCTTTAAGATCACAGCTAAAGTTTTCTTGTCGATATTGATGTGAAACAAACTTGGTTTGAAGTACAGGGAGCTATTTCTTTCTTACCTTGCTCACTGATGAGCCTGGGTTCTGTCTTTTGGGAGTTTTGAACAGGATATGATTTTAAGATCATCAGGAATCGAATGGAGTGGAGGATTGTGAACATTGGTTGAGCTGCATAAAATCAAGTGTAATTTAATTTCTGAAATGTAGCAGTAATGCAGAGTTTTTAGATGTATTTTTAGAAACCTAAGTAAGTTCCCACAAAGTGGGTGAAATAATGTATCTTTAAAAATTTGAAGAGTTTTAAAAGTATCTTTTAAGGATGAGATCTCTCAAAACTATGATCCTAGTATTTAATATTCTATCCTCTACTGACAACCATTTAGTTCTTACATTAACTGAGGTTAATTTCACAAGAGATGGGAAGGTGGCTCTTAGGAACAGGGAGGTGATAAGTGTTTTTAAAATGCCTGGCTCTGCAGAGTGAGGAGAACCATTATAATTCTGTGATTGGTGAATCACTGAAGCATTCCTGTGGGGAGACTGATGGTTCAATGTTATTTGTCATAGAGTGCCACTGGTTAAAAATACTGACACTAAGAATGCATAGGCTACTATTTCTTGTCGTGCCAGCTGTACTGCTATAGTTGCAAGGGGTAGGAATGGGATAACTCCAGGGAAGTCTTCACTCCTATTAGAATAAGTCTGAAAATAAAAGGCATGGTGACTTTTGGTGCATTGTTGGAATTGTGCACTATTTTTGGTGCTTGCAGCATTACCTTAGGCTTTTAAAGTAGATAATCCTTTCTAAAGGCTAGTTCTGGTACCAGATGGGTTTTGTGGCCCATGTTACCTCATTATTTAAATTCAGTTTGAAGTCCAGTGGAACTAATCTGTGGCTTTTGAGTAACTGTACATGAATTAAAAATGAGTGCAGAACAATGATTTTCTACCAGAGTGGGAGCAGATTAAAGCAGAGGGTGCAACTAATACAATTTTATTTTTCAAAAACATGTTTTCCATACTGAAAATAGAAGACAGACACTTCTAGTATTGTGCCACTGTGGCATTTCTAAATTTATATAACTGAAATGTGTGTCTAGGCATGTCTGGCTTTGGTTTTTTTTGAAAGCCATTTTCAAGCTGAAGTCCCAGTAAAGCAAAGGGTCATGGAGCTGGCTCAAGGTATTAACATTAGAGGCAGCATCTCTGCTTCTAAGGGTGAGGTTAAAGAACTCTGTGCGGTAGATGCAACTGATCTTACCTTTATGCTTTTGTGCAAGAGTAAAAGAGTTAATTCCTGATCTACCTGTCCAATCAGGCTTTATTGTTTCAGAAGAACCTCTGTCCTCATACTTTGTGTTTCCAAACAAGGCCCTTTTCACTGTTCCATGCATCATATACTAATTGTTAGCCAGATGTGCACTGAGAAATTCTGTCCTGGTACAAAATTTCCTGTTCTGGAGCTTGATTGATTTATTCTGTACATTAGAATTGCTGCAATTACAGTAGCTGTTGTGATTAATTAATGATTTTTTAAAAAAAACTGAAACAATATTCTTAGCTTCAGATTCTTTGGACTTCTAAAATAGATACTTTATTTACCTGGTGGTTCTGAAGAGCAGTGGACTTTCATGTCTTGAGTAAAAAAATAACTTTTGCTGGGCTGGATCACTTGTCAGGGGGATAGCTCTGAGCTGTAGTATATATTCTGCAGTAGTGCAGAGCATTTTAGTATTATCACAAATACAGTGGGTTTTGACTTCAGTTACTGCCTTTGTCTTGAGAGTGCTGGAAATGCTTGCAGCCAGTAATTTCTAAGAGTTATGACTAGTTCCTGTTCAAACTTAAGCATGTGGGAGTGAAGTAACAGAACTGTAGCCTACTACAGCAGTCTTGTAAGGCTTTGAATGCTGTAAAATCTCTGGCTTTAGCAGATAAAAGTGCAGTACTGAGACACTGACTGAGAAGTAGGTTGAGTAGGCAGTGTCAGTATTCTCCAGCTCTTGGGCTTGCAGAGCACCTGTAGGATATGTTTGTGAAGGTGATAGTGAGCAGAGATTGCTCGTGGAATGAGGAGTCTGTTTTATCCTTTTCACCAAAACTTCTCTCATACAAATTTCAGGCAGAAGCAATTAGTTTGAGTGTGACAATCAAGATACATAGATATCTTGTGTGTGTAACAACTTTAGTTCTGTACATCTGTCAATTTGTTGTTGTGATTGACCTCTAATTTTTTTGTTAATGCCTCAAAATGTTTTTGAGGTTAGGTGGTAAATTGAAGAGTATCTCAATTGTGATTAGTGAGGTTGCAGCAAGCAGGCCTGTATAAATTCTACAGCATTGCCATTGTCTTCACGGTGTGATTCTGAACTCAGGGCACACATGCTTATTAACCTGTTGGTTTGGAAAAAGTTAAGGATCATGAGACTTAAATAACTTACCTGTACTGGAGAGGGTGAAGGCAAGTTGCTTAAGGTGTTTCAGTGTCATAGAGCTCTCACATAGATGAGATGGGAAATTTATCAAGTTCAAGAGGTGTTGGGTTCAAAATACTCCGTTGTTGTTTCTGATCAGAAGGGAAGACAGCAAGGCCTGTCCTGGCCTGAACAGAGCCTCATGAGCTGGCTCTGGATCACTAAAGCTTTCATCTGCTCCCACTGCTTGCATTGCAGTAAAGCTGTTTACTCTGCTAGGATACTGATCTGGTACAGAGTTTATTCTGCAGGATTTACCAATTTAATTCTTGGCAGAATTATCAATTGTCCAGAATAAATTGCTATGAAAATACTGACATCAGTGAAACTAAATTTTTACTTCTGTTTAATAAGTTCCATTTCTATTTCTTTATAAAAACTATTCTAGTTTGCTTTTTTACCAGAACAAGAAAATCAATCCTGTGTAGGCAAACCATGTGTCTCTTGAACTGAGTAAATGTTAAGCTGAAGTCTTTATTTTCATACTGTGTATTCAGTTCAACTGGGGTGAGATTTACCAGTTTCAGATCTATCTGTGTGAAGTGAGGAAAGAAGTAAATCTGAAATGTTGTTTGTAGAACAGGCAGCAGGTTTAAGATTAATGATTAGAGGTGGTGAAATGGTTAAGCATGCAGGTTTTGAGGGCTGGGGAAGTAACTAATTGCAGGTAGAGAAATTTAGGAGATCACGGGGTAAACCAATTTAAATGCTATATATACCATAGCCTGAGGGCTTCTTTGGGATTGGAGGAAAGAGGTTGGCTCTCTTTTTCCACTGCAATCATACTCTCTCTAAATTCCTGAATTAATGGTTTGTGGCAGCCTGGGACTGGCTCAAACTAGAATGGTAACAGCTTAGCAGAAAGGAAATATGGACACTT